ACTCCATCTGCACANGGTAGAACAANNGATTCACCCTTCCAGAAACCTTTCTTGTTATCTGCATAACAAGTACATTGTTCAAGCTCATTACAATAACCATTTCCACTACAAGTAGTTGAGGCATTACATTTAACCAAACTATTACACATAGCTCCTAAATAAGGAGAAACACATGCTGAACAATCTGCACCAGTCCAATAACCTTTGCCAGCTATGTTATCACAGACACAAATATTCAAATCTGTACATTGACCATGTCCAGAACAAACAGATGAAGCATTGGAAGAAATGCCACCACAAGTGAATTGAGCACAATGACTTCCGTAATATCCAGATTGACAAGAACAATGATCGAAAAAATCACATCTACCTTTTCCAGAACAAGCTGATGCATTTGTTGAGACAATTCCAAAACAATTAAACTGGCTACAATCATATCCATTATATCCAGCTGAACAGGAGCAATTATTTGGGGAGATGCAACCACCATGTCCATAACATGCTGACGCATTTGTTGAGGCAGTTCCATAACAATCAAATTGACTACAATCATTCCCGTAGTATCCATCTAAACAGGAGCAATTATTTGGTGAGATGCAACCACCATGTCCATAACATGCTGAACCACTTGTTGAGGCAGTTCCATAACAATCAAATTGACTACAATCATTTCCGTAGTATCCATCTAAACAAGAACAATTATTTGGTGAGATGCAACCACCATGTCCAGAACATGCTGATGCATTTGTGGAGGCAGTTTCGTAACAATCAAATTCACTACAATCATTTCCATAATATCCAGCTAAGCATGAACAGTTATTTGGTGAGACACAACGACCATAACTAGAACAAACTGAACCACTTGTTGAGGCAGCTCCAAAACAATCAAACTCAGCACAGTCATTTCCGTAATGTTCGTTAGAGCATGAGCAATTATTTGGTGAGATGCAATCACCATGTCCAAAACAAACTGAACCACTTGTTGAGGCAGTTCCAAAACAATCAAACTCAGCACATTCATTTCCATAGTATCCAGAGGTGCATGAACAATTATTTGGTGCAATACAATAGCCATTTCCAGAGCAAACTGATGAATTACTTGGTGAAATATCAAAACATTGGAAAGAACTGCAATCTGATCCACTATATCCAGCTAAGCATGAGCAGTTATTTGGTGAGAGACAGGTACCGTGTCCAGAACATACTGAACCATTTGTTGAGGCAATTCCATAACAATCAAATTGACTACAATCATTACCATAGTGTTCATTAGAGCATGAGCAATTATTTGGTGAGATACATCTTCCTTGACCAGAGCAAACTGATGAAGAAGTAAATAATGTACCAAAACATTCGTATTCACTACAATTACTACCATAGTATCCATAGGTGCATGAACAATTATTTGGAGCAATGCAATTACCATTTCCAGAGCAAACTGATGAATTACTTGGTGAAATATCAAAACATTGGAAAGAACTGCAATCTGATCCACTATATCCAGCTAAGCATGAGCAGTTATTTGGTAAGAGACAGGTACCGTGTCCAGAACATACTGAACCATTTGTTGAGGCAATTCCAAAACAATCAAATTGACTACAATCATTACCATAGTGTTCATTAGAGCATGAGCAATTATTTGGTGAGATACATCTTCCTTGACCAGAGCAAACTGATGAAGAAGTAAATAATGTACCAAAACATTCGTATTCACTGCAATCATTTCCATAATATCCATCTAAACA